GCCACACCTCGCTCGCACCATGCGGCGCACTTGTGGGAATTATCAGAGAGCAAGTTTTTTTGTTAGCAGGCACCTTTAGACTGCCGCGTTGCGCCTCACGGCGCGGTAGTGGTTCTTTCTCAGAGTAATTTTTCTTTTACTTTTTGACATCCAGACTTGGTCCTCGACCCCCGAATGCGGTCCCGATTTAATTCCTTGGACTTTTACTTAGCTTTCAAAGCTCCAATTTTTTCAATTCAGCTCCAAATTAACGTTTTAACTCGGAATCACTTCCTGCAAGGCGTAAAACACGTAATAAGTGTAATTCACTATCATTTAAGCTCAAACACATGTAAAATGCAGTAATTAGAGTGCAAAATACGGCTAAAATACGGGGTTCTAGCCTACCATCAATTTTCTCCCCCTTACAATAGAATGAAAGGCTTTATTTATACTAGAGTTATGGGGTGCATGATTCACAAATCATGCCCCATTAAATATCAATATTAATGATGCAATAAAAGGTAATTAAAAGATGATAAAGAATAATAAAGGATAATAATGACTAATAAAGGCCGGAGGAATCTTGAGGTCTTCTATAACGTTTTTGTAACGTTCATATCATGAATTGCTTATTATCCGGCCACAAATTTATCTTTGGTGTCACCATGATTAAGTCAGCAATGACTGATTATCCTTGACACATATCACTTCCTAATTCACCCAAGACACATATCGCTTCCTAATTCACCCGAGATCAGTTTGTACCGTATACAAAAATATTCTACTCCATGTCAGACACGTTGATTTTCAATTTGTTTTCTTTTCCTTTTCATTGTTTTATCCAAATGCTACCACTTATATATTCGTTGCCTATTTTTATAAAGGCAGAGACTTTTGAATTTTTTTTTACTTATTAAATTGTGAAAAGCTTCATTCTTTTGACGAAGAGTTGGAACGATAACGCAATGAAATTATATTTATTTAATATTTGCTAAAAGTGAAATGACGTTCTCATGTTCTGGGTTTCTACTATAACTTTTTTTTTTTGTTGGATAAAATATTATTTTGACATGTCACGTGCAAATCTTTATGTTACATACTTTCGCAGGTATCAAATGTGATATCGTATCTTATTTGTTTATTCAGATAAAGTTCGATATAATTTGAAAATAAAATAAAATAAGATGGCTTGTTTCAGTTGTCCATTCTTGAATAGAATTGGGTGATGGTATTTCTACATTTTCTTTGAACCGTTGAAATTAGTTTCATTTGAAGAATTTATTACCAAGTCTTATACTAGAAGCAAATACATTTGAAAAGGCAAACAGAAATTCAATTAGGTAAAATGTTGTTGGGGTTGGAATTTTAGATAAACCACTTTGTGTAAAAATATTTTCTGAATTATTAATTAGTAGCAAATAAGAAGTTTGGGATGGAAACAAAAATCTAGTTAACGTTCCTATGCGCTTTAAACAAAATACGTGTTTTATTTGTGCAACGAACTATAAATTGTTTCCTCTCTATTTATCCTAATTGTGATATTGTTCGTGCTGTTTAGATCAACTTGTGCGCCCCTCAACTAGTTTCTCGAGTTGCTTGCTACCTTCCAGGCTTCCATCAATACATAAATAGGGTAACTTTATCTAACTAGGCTTGGTGAGATGGAAATAAATAATCACCTAATATTTTTTAATCTTGATATATAAAGCTAAGAGTTTATGGTTCTCACTCCACTTTATTAATTACTAAGCCACACCCTTGATATAGATATCCCTCAATTATCACTTTAAACCCACACAATGGAATAAAACGCAAATTTGATGGTTGAACATGATTTATTAATCAAACATTTTGCCTTCTTAGTATCTTCGTGCGTGTAAGTTTGTTCATATTGTTAGTCCTAAACCGAAAAAGAATTAGGGTTACAATAGGTAGATGGCAGCGTAATGTTAGGGTTTGCCTTAATTTTCTTAACATGTTTGGATTTTACCTATTACTTGATGGAAGGACTCAATATTTAATGGGCGGAATATTTACTATAACTTATTTTAGTTTTCCCCAAAATAAAATATAAATCTCTTCCATAGTTGATAGATCCATTTCTTGTAAAAAAAAGGCTGTAGACTTCTATGAATTTAGGACCCCTCCTTCACACATAGGTAACAGTAGCATCCATAATGCAGTCCTTAAGAGAGTCTTATTTAGGGGAAAAATTTCTTCTCTCAAAAAGTTTTTTTTTCTTTTATATTAGTAGATTGATGTAGGTCAATTGACCAAATCATATTAAATTATAATATCTTCTTTGATGTATTTTTCTTTTGTCGCATGATTTATCATCATCCTTATTATTTCGATATTAATAAGTGATCTCAGAACCAATGATTCAACTATGTTGAAGACAGGTTCAAATCAAACTGCAACTAATTTGACAAGAACGAAGATTTTTATCCCAAAAAATTAATTTTGTTCGGATACGTGGTGACAAACTTTCAACTGCATATTTTTAATGTTCCTGCTACATTATCTTTAAAAGTACAACGGCTCCAACTTTCAACCCATATTTAGTTCTAACGTATAAGCTCCACTTTTAATCTTGTACACTTTTAATACAGGGTTTCATTTTTATCCCTGTTCATTTTTAACGCTGGACTTCAATATTTTAATTCGTGCTTAATTTTAGTGCACATGGCTATAATTTTAATCCATATCTATTTTTAAATATAGCAAACAACAGTCACGAAGATTATGTAAAGAATACGGATCAAGTTTTGCCCAAAAAATTCAAGCCAAATGAAAAAACTATTAGGGTTTACCTTAATTTTCTTATCATGTTTGGATTTTACTTGTTACTTGAAGGAAAGGTAAAATATTTATGATAACTAATTTTACTTTTCCTAAAAGGAAAATATAGATCTCTTCGATAGTTGACAGATTCCCATGTTGTAGGAAAATACCGTGGACCTCTATAAATTATGAATCTCTCCTTCACACAAAGACAACAATATTATCCACATTGTAGTCCTTAAAAGAGTCTTGTTTAGGTGGAGAATTTATTCTCTCGATAAGTTTTTCTTCTCTTTTATATTAGAAGATTGATGTAGGTCCAGATCATATTAAATTATAATGTCTTCTTTGATATATTTTTCTTTTATCGTCTGATTTATTGTCCCCATATTTGCTTTGTTAGCTTTTGCATGCCGCCTTGTTATTTTGATCCCCATACGTAAAATTAGCCAATTCATGATGTATCGTCAATACATATACATTACTAGGACTACATGAAGAAACATAATTAATGAAGATTCACATAACAGATTCTAATTTATTTGAGATTGAGGTGTATTTTCTATTGTTTTGCTCCTAAACATGTCATTAAAAATATTATTGAATTGGTATTTGCATAGTGGGAATGCTTTACCTCTGCCTATACTCTATTAGTAGTATTTCTTTCTCACTCAATAAAAACAAAATCACTTGGTGGTTATTTTAAAAAGTAGCTACTGGAGTACTATTATTTTGTATTTAGCAAAATACGTAAACATACAGTTAAAGTTGGCCTCAGATGTCTCTCTCACACTGCAACTTATCAGGTGACCATATAGACACTTTATGTTAGTTTTAGTATGTCTCGTAAACATTCCGAGGTGACATGGCAAAATGAGCGTGTCTCACTCATGTTTGAGCGCGTGAAGATGCATAAAATTATATTTTTACTTTAATTTTTTTCATGTGGACCCCGCCTTCTTCATCCCCAATCAAGCCATAGCCACCATCACCATGTTTGATCTTTTCTTGTTCTGAAAGATGAATTTCACATTATTATTTTTTTTCTCTCACCTCACCATCTTCTCTTTGCCACAAGCTCATCTTCTCCATTTGTCTTCCACCATATGAGCTTTACCAAGCTTCACTCTAACACCTAAAATAACCATGTACATAAGTCCTTTAAGTAAAAAAAATGAGCAGCCCCATCACCACCAAACAACTCGCACACAGAAGTACAAAAACACCATGTAACCATCACCATCTTCTCAACCCAAAAATAACAAAAAACTTGTCAATTTGTTCAAAAGTAACATGAAGAAGAAAGAAAATCCTCGCTACCTCTATCTCCTCATAAACAATATCTGGATCATTCAAAAGCAATAACATTTAACATTAAGAAGAAGAAAAATCTAAACAGTAACATTCCCGGCGAAAACAATTTGAACAATAACATTTTCGGCGAAATTTCATTTTTTTTGGCAAAGTTTTATTTTTTTTCCAACAATAACGAAATTAATCTTTGTGACTTAAATCTAAAATAAAAAATCAGATTTATATTTCAAAAATTCCTCCGAAACTTCATTTTTTCGGCGAAGTTTCTTGAATCTAAAGAAGAAGAATCAGATTTGAAACTTTCAAAGAAATTTCGACGAAAGCTCCAACGTGAAGAAAAAGAAGGAAAAAAAAGATCAAATTTCTAGAGAAGAAACAAAATTGGAAAAGAATGACCGGAATTTAATTTTTCTGGCAAGGAGGGGTCGTTGGGGAAGATGACGGCGGTAGGGTTGGAAGAAGGAAGAATTGTTCTTTTTGAATTTTTTAATCAAGTTATTATTAAGGTGATAATATTTTTATTTTAAAATACACGTGTCATTATTTTATCTGTTGACTTGACATGTCAGCAGAGAATGTATTTTACGAAAATAGACTTTCAGACATAGGTGTCCACATGATATATCTGTACTAAGTTGAAGTGTCTATATAGTCGGTCACTTAGTAAGTTGGAGTGTGAGAGATATATCCGAGCCCAATTATAAATGTTTGTTTGCGGTTATATTTTATAGAACACAGAGAAAAACAGCTGACTACAGTATGGCAAGCTGGACGTATATATGTAAAAGCACTGACTCTTTCACCCCACGTGTTCATCTCATGCCAAGTTCCATGGCCATTCCCCCCCCCCCCCCA